GCTAGATGGGCCAGGGACTAAGACAGGTTAAAAAATGTGGCTAGGGTGTGCTCTGTAGACAATTTATGCTAAAAGCAGGCTTTCTGCTTCAATGCTTGTCACGTGCATGAGTACAGATACCTGCCAGGAGCACACACCTAAGCATAGACATGAATGCACAACTGCATCTCCACACATGCCCCCCCTCCCCCCCCGGCATTTGCACACAGCTTCCAGCTTTATTTCCAAGTATTGCTTTTAGAGAAAATAACATGTTAAGACTTAGTGAACTCTCTTACTGGAGAGGTGGGCAGCGAGTGGTGCTGTTGTGGTGCGTGGCGTGGGCATGGCACCGGGGAAACATTTCCGAGGAGATCCCTTGCAGGAGGCTGAAGAGAGAGGCGATGGGCTGCAGCGGGCTCACTGGAGCCGAGCTGTCCCAGGAACGTGCCTGGGGGTCCTGGCAAACCCTAGCATCCTTTACCCCCACTGGAAACCTCACTCAGGAAACTCTGAGCCCCTTGGGTCAGACTCGGTGAGCAAGCACTGAGCTGCGGCTGCAAATGCAGAGTGGAAGGCAAAGGGGACAGGGTAACCTGCAGGAAGGAGTCTCAGGCATGGGCACTGCCCAGCTCTCAAGGAGGCGAACCCACAGACTTATGATGAGCAAAATGGGGCAAAGAAGGTGCTCTAAGAAAGTAGTGAAGTGGCAGAGGAGGATGGACATGGCTGTACATCTGGGCAGGGCAAAACAGCCGCAGGAACGGGTGCTTTGCCGCATATGCAAAGCCAGGGCAGCGCTTCTCTGGCTTGTGCCACGGCAGTGAGCGTGCAGGGCTGTACAAGCCTGCAAATCATTCTCCTGAGAGGGAAAGAAAAATTGCAACTGCGTCAAACAGAGTGAAAAGTTAGGAGGGCTTGGACACCCTAGAGCAAAAAGGATTAGGTGACAGAAAATAGCCAGGCGAGACAGGAACCACAGCCTGCCGTGGGAAATCTTGAACCTGGGCCAAATGATCAGCTCAGTAGATATCCAGTGCAGATGATGCTCCAGGCTTGCCCTGGCACGGAGCGAGCTGTGCTGAAACACTGGGCTGGGCTCCAGGTGTGCGCACCTGGAGACACATGCAGCGGGTCAGTCCCTCTGCACCACGCGTTTCCCAAGAAGTGGTAGTCTGTTGTGATTCAGCATCCCCGGCTGATGCAGAATGATCTTCCTGGACTAAAAGGCTGTGAACTTTGACTGCAGCTTCAAGGCTTTTTTTGATGCTAGTTGCGTGCCAGTTTTGCGATGTCTGATGAGGGCTGGATGCACAGCAGGGAGTGCACTGGGGCCAACACCTATGCAGCTCCCCTCTCCGTCCCTGGCCATCCCCGGATGCAGTGCAGGTGCCCACATCCAGCTTTGAGAAGCTCCAGGGGATCTCTTCTGGCTTTCCCTGTCGTGATGCCATCACAGGGGCAGTGCTGCAAGGACTCTCTGAGGATGTCTGCAGGAAGCACAGGCAAAGCCTGGCCAGCTGTCCCTGAACGCCTAGGGCATGGGGAGCAACCAGTGCTGGGCTTGTGCCCAGAGCCCCAGTTTTACTGTAGCAGGGGAGGAGGAAGAGGGAGAAAGAAGAAACACACACAGAGGTCGAAGGCCACTGCCAAGGATGGAGCCCTGAACGGAAAAGAAATCCCCCCCTCCCATCACCACCAGTGAGAGTCATGCACGACCCCAAATTTCTGAAGGGCCACCGTGAGACTCTGCAGGATGCTACGAAAATATCTCTTGCCAAGGGATCTGTGCGTCGCAGGGACCTAGGGAGATGGATGCTCCCCAGGGCAGGTCGAGTGGAACACAACTCAGAGGCCGTCACGCCTGGGCACCTCAGCGTTAATGATGCAGAAGGCACCAAATGTCAAGGCAGAGGGGCACTCACGGACCAGGAATTGGGGCCTTTAGCACCCTCTTAGCCAGACCTTCAGGGTCATCTTTACTTGCTCTAGGCAAAGGAATACCTGGCTCATTTCCTTCCCTAAAAATCCCATCTAAAGCAGTCCAGCCAGGTTCCCCTCAGCTAGAGGAGCCCCAGTAAGACAGCAGGGCCCTGAGCCCTGTGGCTGGCCATGGCCCTGGTCCTCAGGCAGCACTGGGGACTGTGCAGGAGGCTCTCCCATGCCAGGCTGCTGAAATGGATAAAAAGGAAATCAAAGCAGCTGTGATATCCCAGTATTTCCCAATGAGGCAAACACAGCCAGGTCAGATCCTGCCCCAGGGACTGGCTGTGCCTGGAATTTACTGGAATTCCCCCTTTGCCCTTCCCAGGTCCCTTGGTCAGATGTGGAAAGGAGATCACTGCAAGACCACTGCAAGCTTCAGGGCTCTGGGAGGGTGCTGGGGGGGAAGCGGGCGGCGTGGCCAGTCCTCCCTGAGGA